GATTATATTGCGCTTGGGCTGAAGGAGCCCCTCCGGAGTCTGTACACACCCCCAGTGAGCGCCGTCAACGTTAAATGGATCGGGCTACGCCCCGTAGCGGTCATGTGCATTGCATTGCATCCTTACATTATACTTGATTGATATATTTGAAGTTATTTTGCTGTTGGTTCGTAGTTAGGTGTTGGACTGTTAGTTTTAGCTTTACTTTGTGGCATTTCGTGGATTTCTTATCTTCAGACATTTTATATGCTTATTACTCACTGAGTTGGTAGTACTCACCCCTACTCCCTGCACCTTGTGTGCAGATTCAGGTACTTCGGGATCTTAGTTGAGCTAGCTGCTGGTTTCCAGAGTTCCAAGAGTGGTCGAGGTAGCTGCTATGACGTCCGCAGGACCCGACTCCTCCCTCATCCCTTTATTATTTCCGTACTTTAGAACATACTTATTTTGAGGATTCTTGACTCTGTATTAGTTAGAGGCTCTAGACTCATGACCCCAGGTCTTTGGGAGTTGCAGTTTATGTCAGTATTTCGTATTGTTTTAATTAAGTATTTCAACTATGAGTATTAATATTTGATTTTAAGTATCTGATTAATTGGTTTTGAGCTTTGTGCTCGGGTTGAGAGAGTAAATGGTCGGGCTTGCCTAGCATTAGTGTTGGGCGCCATCACGACTGGGTTTAGGGTCGTGACAAGTTGGTATCAGAGCCTAGGTTACTAGGCCTCATGAGTCATGAGCCGGTTTAGTAGAGTCTCGTGGAACGATACGGGGACGCCTGTATTTCTCCACGAGAGGCTGCAGAACCTTTAGGAAAACTTCACTTTCTTGGAATTCTTCTCGTGCGTACTTGATTCAGCTTGAGATATACCTCTTGAAATTCCTTCCACACGTCTGTATGCGCACATGAGCGCTTAGTAGTATATGTGCCTTGATGGCTTGTACTTCCCCGATCGAGGGGGGCCAGATGTAATCTCCGTGAGTTGATGTTGGGCCAGTCTGGAGGACATGAGGCCGGACCTTTGCTTATGGCTTGAGCACCAAGGTGCTGATTTTGTGAGCTGGAGTTATGAACTTATATGTTCAGTATTGTCCCAAATTGTGGGAATGGCTGCTGGATAGCTACGTAATGAGTATGTTGGTACTGTGTAGTGTGTATGACAGTGGAAGGTATACAAAAAACATGAACTAAAGGTAAAGCTAATGGGTAATTGGCTTATGAGGGAAACAATTTGTATACTAGTTAGATAAGTCTGGGAAGCTAAGATCGCTTCTGTAAAATGTATTATGACGAAATCTATGTCGAGGAGCACACCGTGAAAGGGTCGAAAAACAT